TATATATATAGGATTAAAAGTGCTGAGAAGTCTAGCGTTCTGCTCATTTCCATGTATCAATTCAGCTTAAAAAGAGAATATAAAAAATATGTGTTCTCAAATTATTCAGAAATGACAATCTGTAATTAACACACCGTTTTTCTCAGGTAATCACTTCCAGTAGCCAAAGTACTTCCGGTTCTGAGATCATATTGCTGACAGATGGGGAAGATGATAAAATACATTCCTGCTTTGAGGAGGTCAAACACAGTGGTGCCATCATCCACACCATCGCTCTGGGGCCTTCTGCTGCCAAAGAACTGGAGACTCTGTCAACCATGACGGGTACAGCTTGGAAGCTGAGTTTGGACAGATGTTCCTAAACTGGGAAGCTGTTAACAATTCCCCTTCTTAAAGCTAACTTCTGTCTCTTCCTTGACCTTTAAGTTCTTTCCTCTTCCTCCACTTCTTCACACAGTGACTTCTTCAATTATTCAGTACCTGCTGTTTTCATTCACTCTTTATCCATTTTCTATTCATCTCCCTAAACAGAAGCTTCTGTCTCTATGGTTACTCAAATACAAGTCCAAAATGTTTGCTCAGTTCCAGAGTACCATTCAACCCCACAGTAAAGATTTAGACTTTTTAGATTTAGTCATATTTCGGGTGAGGAAGTGGGAAACTGCAGGCTATAAACGATTTTCTCAAGACCACAGTTAAAACGCTGCTCAAGACTGCCCATCACTCTGCTCAGCTCCCACCATCTCACAAAATCGGAGTCTGGAATATTTCTGATCTTTCCCTTTCTATCCAGTGTTCCTGTCACAGCCTACCCCATCCTCACAATTCCCAAGAATCTCCCAGTTTGCCTTTGCAGCATTTATTAGTTTGGTTGCTATGCATGGATTGGTGTGTTTCTGGCAGGAGCTAGTCTAATTCTTGCTCTTTGTGATCTATTCTTTCCTAACTCTTTACACCCAAGAAATCTTTTTTCACAAACATCATTTATTTTCTGCATTTTGCCTATGTTTAATGTATTGTAAACTATCATCCTCAAGCCAGGCGGTGGTGGCACGTGCCTTTAATCCCAGCACTCAGGAAGCAGGAGCAGGTGGATCTCTGAGTTTGAAGCCAGCCTGGTCTACAAGAGCTAGTTCCAGGACAGCAGGACAGGCTTCAAAACTACAGAGAAAATACTGTCTCAAAGAAAAAAAAAAACAAACAGTCATCCTCTAATGTCAAATGTGTTTTGATTCAACTAAGAAATAAGCATGTGGTTCTTATGAGCAACCTCAAGTCTCCCCGTCTATAAAACCACTGGGTACTTAGGTCAGTTTGACTAATGCACTTACATTTGATGATTAGCTCACATAAAATAAGAAATTTGCCTGATTCTTACATTTTCAATTTATCTTTATCTTACATATTTTGAGTAAGATTGTGGTTACTATGAGTTTACAGTAACTTCAGAGATCCGCTGAAGGTCCATGAGACTCTGAAATCTCGTCTTTTGTACAGTGTTTAGTTCGCATGGGCTGGTGAGAAAGCTGAGTGAGTAAAGGTGCTTACCTCCAAACTCCGCTCAACTCCTGGACCAGCCAACACGGTGGAAGGAGAGAAGCCACTCCAACAAGTCCTATGACTTCCATGCATGCACGTGAAAGGGCACACACACGCTAAATAAATGTCATTTTAATTTGATAATAAAAAGGAAATTGAGTAGATGTTACAGCACATGGGGGACAGCACACTTGATTTTCCTATGTAAACTCCCCTTTAGGAGGACTGCGTTTTTATGCCAACAAAGACCTAACTGCCCTGATGGATGCTTTCAGTGGGATTTCAGCCGGCAGTGGCAGCACCTCTCAGCGGGCTCTGCAGGTCAGCACTTTGTAAAAATACTTTAGTTGCAATAAACTCCTACTATGTCGCTATTACACATTCTTTCTCTAATAAATCATTTTTGCCATAAAAAATATTTCCATTGTGAAAAATGCCATTCGTGAATTTTCTTTTATATGACATAAACACCTTTTTTCTTGCATTCTTCTAGTCTTTGGTTTTTTGTGTGTGTGTGTGTCTGTGTGTGTGTGTGTGTGTGTGTGGTGTGTGGAATATTTGTTTCACCAGGCAAAGATGTGTTGCGATTGTTCACGCTGCACTTGTTAACTACATAAAGATGTGCTGCATTCGCGCTGATTAAATAAAATTAACCTTGGTTCAGAGAGGCGAGTTAGCAACTGGTTGACAGGAAGTGGCAGGGAGGAGCTTAGCGGGCAGGGGGGTAGCTCAGGGGTCTTCCCCCTAGCCTTTGAATCTCAAGTTTTATTAGGACAATACAGATTCAGTTAGAACTAAATTCAGTGGCAGAAACAGAGCCGTTGTCTGAGGAACAGAATTGTTTCCAGGCTACAGCCTTGGCGTGTTGGGTCACTACAGTCACTGTAATGGAGGAGGAAGGGGAAGGGGAAGGAGAGGGAGAGGGAGGGAGAGAGGAAGAGAGAAATTTGGAAAGTGTTTTAATTCTGTGTCATTGTAATTGAACCTTAAATATGAATTTAAGATTACCAGGAACTACCTAAATATTAAAATCCCATTACTTGAAATAACAAAAGGGTTTTCTGTGTTTGCTTTTTATCTCTCCAACAGTTGGAGAGCAAAGCCTTGACTATTGCAAGGAATGGACGGATAAATGGTACAGTGCTGGTGGACAGCACCGTTGGCAACGACACGTTCTTTGTTGTCACCTGGACAGCACAAAAGCCAGAAATCGTTCTTCAAGATCCGAAAGGGAAAACGTACAGAGCCTCAGATTTCCAAGACGATGAGCTGAATATGCGATCTGCTCGACTCCAAATACCAGGCATCGCAGAAGTAAGTCTATTCTCTTCCCTGCGTTTCATTAACCCGTCCTTGTGTTAAGAAATAGACATGTTACGTTGTCAGTATGAAAACAATGGCAGTAGTACTTCCCATTAAAAATTAAGTATACTACCTAAGCATTCAAATCTATATTACCCATTCTTTTTTAACAATCATATTAAAATCATAAGATACGTGCTTAGCATGAAGTCTGGGTTCCATCTCCGGTACCCCCCAATTTTTTTATTTTGTTCAAATTTCCAAATAATTGTACATCCCAAGTAGCAGGAAATTATTAGCAAAGCTCTTAAAGAAAATTTTTTTCCAGACAGGTACTTGGGCTTACAGCCTCTCAAATAAGAATGTCATATCTCAGTCGCTAACAGTGACAGTGACCACTCGAGCAAGAAGTCCTACCACGCCCCCAATAATCGCGACTGCTCACATGAGTCAAGACACAGCGCGGTACCCTAGCCCGATGATTGTTTACGCCCGAGTCAGCCAAGGGTTCTTGCCTGTCCTGGGAGCCAGTGTCACCGCCGTTATAGAAGCCGAAAATGAACATAAAGTCACACTGGAGCTGTGGGACAACGGGGCAGGTAATGGGAACCGGCATCAACACCACTGGATTTAAATTCTCCTATTGGATTCTATAACTTCAGAGTCAATACTCTTTTTTGGTATACTTACAAATCGATTTGAGTAATGATGTCTTTAAAACATTTTACTTGGTTATCTTAAAACAAGCTTAGATGTTTATTTTGGTTGAAGTCCATTATCAATTTCACGTTGCCTGTGGAAATTGAAAGTATAATTTTTCCATTTTCACTAATGTTAGTGCTTTGTGTAAGCTCTCTCCATCTACTTACATTTGCTTTGTCTTGGTAAGCTTCCTTTATAATATTTTACATACTTACAGCTTTCCATACACACATATTCCATACTTTAACCATATTCACCCTTCAATACCTCCTTTCTCTCTCTTAATTCTCCCACTAGTGCCCTTCATTATCCTGGTCTCACATCTACTTTCAGATATATACGATTTTATTTATCTACATAAAATCCATTTTCACTGGGCGGTGGTGGTGCACGCCTTTAATCCCAGCACTCAGGAGGCAGAGGCAGGTGGATCTCTGTGAGTTTGAGGCCAGCCTGGTCTACAAGAGCTAGTTCCAGGACAGGCTCCAAAGCTACAGAGAAATCCTGTCTTGAAAAAAAAAAAAACAAAATAAAAATTCCAGTATCTACAAATTAGAGGAAATACGGAGTTTTGTCTATATCTGGTTTATGTTGCTCCACATGGCAATCTCCACTGGTATCCACTTTCCTACAGATGAGACTTTCTTCCGCATGGCAGTCTTCATATGGTTGTTTACTAGACGGAAATTTTTTTAGTTCCACGTTCCATTTGTCAGTTCTTGGTTTTATTATCAAGTTATTGGTGTCTTTCACAGAAAGACCTTTTGCCTATGCCTATATCCTGAAGCGTTCTCCTCCAACGGATTGAGAGTTTCAGATCTTACACCAAGGTGTTTGATCTGCTCAGAATTCATTTCAGACAAGACAAAAAATAGTGTTCCGGTTTCATTCTTCTACATGGATTTGTCCCGTCTCCAGTACTCTTTGTTGAAGAGGCTATCTTTCTTCAATGTGTGTGTCTGGCATCCTTGTCAAAAGTCACATGGTTTCGGTGTGTGGGTTTAATGCTGTCCTCTCTGCTGTGCCGCTGGTCTGCATGCATCTCTTATGGCAGTACCGGCTGCTTGCTACCGTGGTCCTGTACTAGGACTTACCAGGCATGGTGATATCACCAGCATTGTTCATTTTATTTTGGATTGATTTGGCTATTCTGGGTCTTCTCTGTTTCCACGTGGATTTTATAATTGCTTTTTGTATTCCTGTAAGGAATGTCATTGGGCTCTTTATTGGAATTGCATCAAGCTGTAGATTGCTTCTGGCTATGCAGTCATTTTCATAGTATAAAATTCTGCTGCTGGCTAAGCATGGAAGGTCTTTCCACCTTGAGGTGTCTTGTTTCAATTTCCTTCTTCAGTGTTTTATTCCTGAGTATTTTTAAAGGCTTTAGAAATAGCATTGTTTTCCTGATTTCTTTCTCAGCATGTTCACTGTCGACACAAGGGGGAGCCACTGACTTTTCAGTCAGTAATAACTGCAGCTCAGAGAAGCCTCATTGGCCACAAGACTGTCGTTGCACAAAAGCTGGCTGCTGGTTTTTTTTTTTATGTTGGTGTTGTATCCTGCAACTTTGCTAAATGTCTTTTTCAGTCCTCAGAGTTTTCTGAACAAGTTTCTATTGTGAAATAAAAGTAAGTGCTAACGTTAATTGAATGCTCTAAAATGACAGAGTTAGAACATAGTCAAGCCAGACTCTGAAGCAAAATACTGTGCTCTAGGTCTAACTACCCTGCACTCGCTGATAAACTCACACCAGCAAGGCCTGCGGAAAGTGTTGGTTTTCATGTTAACTTACTGCATGGCTGACTATTGTGCTTCATTATCAAGGTGCCGATACTGTTCAAAATGATGGCATCTACACGAGATATTTCACAGATTATCATGGAAATGGTAGATACAGCTTGAAAGTGAATGTCCGGGCAAGAAGAAAGACAGCCAGACTAAGTTTAAGCCAGCAGAGCAAGTCTTTATACATGCCTGGCTACATCGACGACGGTAAGTAGCAATGGAACAGAGATGTGCTACCTGCTTCAGGAAATCACATAAGCAGACACGGAAAGGGATGATATGGGTGGAAAACCCAAGCGTACAATTATCTTTGGGACTCAAAATCATATTCAGTCGGTGGACTCAGCAGAAACCATGTTTCCACATACTTTTTGTTAACGTTTTCCTCGGTTTGTTTCATTTACAAAATCCATTTCCTGAGCTCATGAAAAAGCCCTGTGCTAAAAGCTAGGGCTAGGGAGCCGGATGAGTCCTTGTCATCAAAGAACTCGTGCAAAGGTAGTGGGTTAGGATAGGTTAAAAGTTAGTTTTATCATAGTACAATCAAAATGATAGATATAAAAATAAGCTTTTCTCTCACTTTTCAATGGCTATTGTCAGTCTACATGAGCCCTGAACAACTGTAAGATCAGCATGAGATAAAGAACAGACAATATGGGAAATACAAACATCTGGGGTATTTTTTATAGGCAGAATTATAATGAATCCACCCAGACCTGAAATCCAAGAAGCAGACGCTCCAGTGGACGACTTCAGCAGAGTAGCCTCTGGAGGGTCGTTTACCGTGTCTGGAGCGCCTCCTGGTGGCAGCCACGCTAATGTGTTTCCACCCTGTAAAGTCACTGATCTGGAGGCCGAGTTTGAAGGAGATCACATCCACCTTACCTGGACAGCCCCTGGCAAGGTCCTCGACAAAGGAAAAGGTAAGCTTGGTGCTGAGTTTTACAGTATTCAGTATGCAAGAAATTAAATTACATTTTTGCATAGATACTTACAAAATATGTTGCCAGGAAATGATTCCAGTTCTTTGTTCCACTGGGTTGGTAAGGGGCGCATACTTACCCAGCAGATAAGAGTAATATGCATAAGTGTTGTTTATTTAAAAATAAAAATAAGGTATTCTGAGTGGAATCTCATTGGCATTCTTTCCCAAAGTTTTTCCAGTGTCTCACTTATGAGTAATATGTATGGGGTCTCTACTATAGGTCGATATTCATTTATTTTTTTATGTAAAAACTGAAATATCTTGGAATTAGCCAACTTAAAATTTTTATTAAAAAATTCCGTATTTTTATCTTAAAATTATGAAATCAGTCTTTAAGATTATGTGCCCCCCCCAATCTCTTATAAAGATGGCTCAGCAATCAAGAGCACGATTGTTTATCCAGAGGACTCAGATCCAGTTCCCAGCACCCACAAGGCAGGTCCCAACCATCTGTCACTCCAGCCCCAGGGGACTCTCTTCTGCCCTTCTTCACGGTGCAGGCAAAACACCCATGCACATAATAAACTACTAAACATTAATTTTAAAAAAAGAATAGAGGAGAGGAATAAACTTAAGATGCCGGTCGGGGCCGGAACGGGTCCCGAGCACACGTGTAACTAGCGCTCATCACTTCTGCGCCCTTGACTCACCCTCAGCTGCTCTCCGCTGGTCTTTCACCGGGTGCCCCACCCCCACCCCATTACGCCTTCTCTCAACGTAATAAAAAGTCACAACAGATGCTCATGGTCTTTACTGCACAGGAACATTGTGTGTCCCTTGTCCTAATTTAAAACTGAGTTCAGCTCTTTCTAAGTCTCTCTAAAAAGAAACCTGGGCTCATGGTGGAGAGCTGGTATTAATGAAACTGAATTAGCTTTTCTCCGATTTTATGACTGGACATTTTTTAAAATAACTGTTCCTATCCTTGTCTTTAAAGTCAGTGAGATGGGATACCCAGACACAAACTGTTCCTGGGCTCTCCATCACTAAAGCTCGGCATGCAAGGCTGGTAACTCCAACGCAGGTGCAGTGCAGTGCAGAGAGCCGTCCTCCTGACTCTAACGAACACCTATCCCTGTCTCTTTTCCAGCGCAAAGATACATCATCAGAATGAGTCAGCATTCTCGGGATCTCCAAAAAGATTTTAGCAACGCTACTTTAGTGAATACTGTTGGCCTGATACCTAGAGAAGCTGGCTCAAAAGAAAAATTTGAATTCAAACCAGAAACTTTGAAAACCGGAAAGAGCACCATGTTCTACATTGTAATTCAGGCCGTCAATGACGCCGGTTTCACGTCAGTGAACTCCAACATTGCGCAGGCTGTCAAGTTTATTCCTCCAGAGCACAGTGTCTCCGCAAGGGGCCCTAATATTTCTGCCAGCCCTCTGACAATTTGGGGGTTAACTGTGATTTTTAAATATATTTTAAACTAGAAATTATACTAGACCTAAAATGCAATCTTGTATATACTTGCTACGAGTTTCTTTAGAATGAGTTTACTAAACCCACTGTCAGCTAGTCAACAACTGTAATACAGAAATTAATATTCCAAGTTATTAGAAAAATTGCTAGACTTAACTAATACTAATTATTTTGCTAAATATAAATCAAGACTAACATGTCCTCAATCATTAATCATTCCATTTATTATGGAAATAAGATCTCTGTTCTATTTTTATAGTGTGATTCAAATTCACATTCTATATTAACAAAATGAAAATTTATACAAGCCACCTGAAAGGATTTATGCATAGATAATAGCAAACAATTTTATATTTGAATTATCTGTAACATAATTGACGAGAAATACTTCCTGTTTGCACAACTGAAGTAAAAAGGAACTATGGAAGTAATTTGTAAAGAAAAATGGTCTCAAGTGGTCAGAAAGTCAAATGTCTTTTGTCATTGGCTGAAGGTGTTTTATCAGTCCTAGGCGCAAAATGATGAGCAAAGAGTGCTTTTGTTGATGAACTGTGGGCATCATAATGAAGTTCTGTTTCTGTCCTGGGACCATCATTTGATCCTAAAAGTATTACCAAGATGTGTAATTAGAACAGGGATTTGTTTTTTTCACTGCTGTAAACTTTGCATCCGGAGCAGAATTAGATATAGAATAGACAGTCAATAAACATTTTTTAAATAAGTTTATTCTTTTATACTCTCAAAAACAAACAAATATAGCCCAATCATATCAACAATACCTACATAATATTGTGTGCGCATGATAATGTGAGAACTTAAATAAAAGTGATCTACTTTATAACACTAATCTTAACTAAAGCATAAAGTTTCAAAAAATCACATATAAATGAACGTAAGACCTCAATAGAACGTAAAAGCTAATACAAGCTGGTAGTGCTGCTATAGTATGATCTTCCTAACAAAAAAGTTTTATTAGAGAAAAGCCCTTTCTTATAGGCAAGATTTCAAGAACTTTTAAATATCTAAAAGGAAGGAGCAACATGAAATCATGAAACATCAACAAACCAATTAAAAAGAACATATGAAAAACAGGATTACCTAGTTGATTTCATGCCAGTAATCTAAAGATGATTTAATATAAAAAATAACATCAGTACATGACCATATTAATCACTGAAAAAATACTCGGCAAGTTCTGATGAAAAGAAAAGGAGTAGAAACTTCCTGGTGGAGGGAGTTTGATTGTATTTGGTAAATATAAAGATATACACACTACTTACAGGGATGTCCGTGTGTGTGTGTGTGTGTGTGTGTGTGTGTGTGTGTGCATTTGTGTTCTAGAATCCGTGAAGAAAGATACTCACTAGATCTGGATCTGAGGGTGGATGCTTGTAATCCCAATACTCAAGAGACTGAGGAAGGAGGATCACAAGATTGTGACCAGTGTGGGCTACATAGCAAGACATTATGTCAAAATGCCAGTACACAAACTGTAGGTTAGTTTTGTTAAGAATTAAACCCAGCAGGGTGGAGAGATGGCGCTGCAGTTAAGAGCCGGGGCTGCTCGTCCAGAGGAGGAAACTTCCATTTCAGCATCTTCATGGAGACTCAGCCGTCTGTAACTCCACGTCTAGGGAATACAGTACCCTCTTCTCAGCTCTGTGGGCACTGTACACACGTGGTGGACAGACATTCAGGTAGGCAAAATATCAATACACACGAAATTTTAAAATTAAGAATTAGAACAAAACCTCTAACTAGCAAAATTCACACAGATAATTTAACTTTTTGGTTTTGTTTAAAATGGCATTAAATAACAAGTTTTAGAAATACTATCACAAGTCAAAAAATAGATGACAGAAGAAATTACCATTTGCTCCAGCATGTTTTAACAGAAAACCCTCTCCCTTTTCTCCTGTAAGTTTTGTTTTCTTTCAGTTGGGAATGGAACTCATGACCTTACATGTACACTTGGAAAATTTTACCCACTGGGCTATATCCTCAAATTTCCCCCAATTCTTTCAAATTATAGAGCTGGCCTGAAACCTGAAGAGAAGAACTTTTCTAGTTCTTGTACAACAGCAGCAGAGCCAATGCTAATAGCTGCCCGTTCTGTTCTCTCCTTCTCCGCTAACACAAGCTCTATTTTGTCCAAGATGACAATATGTACTGTTAAAAATAAGAGCTACTATTCTCCCACAAACGCCCTTCGTTTCTTAACAGGGCACATTACATTTATGAGATTGAATTGCCATTGTGAGGGGCTAAAAGGCCCAGTTCTAGCTAGTGATGTGAAAATCAAAGTTTACTAGCTGGGGGATAGGGAAATGCTTGACTTCAAATAGAAAAAGTACTTTTGCCTCCCTTTCATCTGCTTTTCGAGTTGAGACTAAATGAGGTACCTAGAGGTTCCGAGGCATCTTGAGACGTAAAGATTAAAGCTACATGATAAGAGTTCAAAGCAGAACCTAGCATATACAGTGAGCCGGTCCCTGGCATAAGTGAAGGAGAGAGAAGGAAAGAGGGGGAAGAACAAGAAAGAAAGAAAGAAAGAAAGAAAGAAAGAAAGAAAGAAAGAAAGAAAGAAAGAAAGAAAGAAAGAAAGAAAGAAAGAGAAAAGAAAAAACAGAAAGAGGACGATGAGTTTGAAACCATCCTCGGGTACCTGAAGGCAGCCTGGGTTACATGAGGCCCTGTCTCAGAAAACAGAAAGGAAATTAGCAGAGTGTGGGGGCTCACGCCTTTATCCCAGCACCAGCAATTGGAAGGCTGAGGCCCTGTCTCACAGTTAAGAACTCAAGTGTGAATGAACAACGCATAGCAGGGTAGGGTCTGGGTTCCCCTACTGTCTCTCTGACACGCGCTCAAAGATCCTCCCAAAGCTTTGTTTGTTTTCTAGACGATTCTAAACATGTCTCAGACAATCACAGGGGGTCGATCTCTTCACCACAGACTCAGGGCCTGGCAGTGAGTGAAGCCATAGCAGGGTAGGGGACAATAAAGACAAAGGTCTCCACTCAAGCCATAGGTAGCCCTGGACACCTGGCCCCATGCAGGAAATCCCGGCCAGCGATTCTGTAGTGTCGGTTCTATTTATGCTTAAAGAAATTTAGCCCATGCTTTCCTGTCAGAGATACTCACCGAGGCTCCCTGGGAGAATCAGGGCGGGTGCACAGCAGCCCAGGAGGCTCCTGCTCTTGGAAGAACTTCCACTGATGCTCTGACCATGGACTGGTCCCTAGTGACCTCCAGGGTCGCTGTTCTGAGAGCTTCAGGTAGGAGCTGCACCCCCGCCAGGGGTCGCTGTCCCCTCGCCAGTGCACTACAGCGACTCCACCCGGCGGTGAGTCCTTGGCCGCCCGCCAGGGGTCGCTGTCCCCCGGACCAGTGCACTACAGCTACTCCACCCGGCGGTGAGTCCTCGGCCGCCCGCCAGGGGTCGCTGTTCCCGCGAGAACCCCCGCCGAGGCCACGCCCCCGCGGTCGGTTGTCTTCCGCCGCACGGGAGGGATCCGGCTCCACACTGCGGGACCGCGGGGCCGGGGCGGGTGTCTTCCCTGACGGACGCGACCTGCGTCCCGGCGGCGGCTGCTCGGCGACGCGCCAGGCCCAGCGTGCGAGCGGCCAGCCGGCCGGGCGCGCGCTCTCGGGTCGGGCTCGCCACACCCTCCGCCTCTCCCCCTCCCTCAGGAAACGACAGCTGCGCGGGGCTGGCGCCGCCTCCCGCCACCTCCCACGTCCGCCCCGCCGTCGCCCGGCGCCCCAGCCCCGCCGTCGCCGCCGCGGCGCCCCCCGCCTCCCCGCTAGCCCAGCCGGCGGCTCTGTCCCGCCGCCGCCGTCGCCCGGCATGAACATCATGGATTTCAACGTGAAGAAGCTGGCGGCCGACGCGGGCACCTTCCTCAGCCGGGCCGTGCAGGTACGGCGGCGACGGTTGAGAACGGGGCGGTGGCGCCGGGGGGGCTAGGGGAGAGCGACGCCGACGACCCGGCCTGCTTGCTGGGCGCGGCCTGGCGCCCCGGTCCCGCCGGCCGTTTCCGCGTCGCTCTACCCAACCGCCGCTCGGCGCCGAACGAGGCGAGCCCGGACGCGGCCCCGAGCGTCCGCCACCCCGGACACACCTTGGGCTCACCCCGGGCCGGAGGCCTCGGTGCCCCGGCGGGCGAGCCAGGGCAGGCTGAGCACCTCTGCGCCACCCCCACCCTTCCCTTGGGTCGCCCTCGCCCTCCGGGCCGCGGCCAAGGAGGGAGTTTCCTTTTCCTGCCCCTGTGCCAGCTCTGTTCCCACCAGCCCTCTCCGCCCCTGGAGCAGCCCGTGTGGGGAATGGAGATCGCCTGTCCCTGTCGGCGTCCCAGCTTCACCAAGGACGCAGGAAACCTGAGATTAGGGGCGCCCTGACCCATTCCCCAAATCGGATCTAGAGCAGGGGTGAGAAGCGGGCAGGACTCGTGTTGTTGTGGCCGTGGACACGTTGGTATGCTTCTGGCACCCTTGGAGGGGGAGAGTTCACTGCGTCTCCTTATTCTGTAATCAAGGAAGGGAACTTGGGCAATAGGGAACTTGGGCAGATTTTTACAGTCAACACATGATGCAAACGCAGTTAAATCTATGAGCAGATGTCAATTTCACAACACGGGTTATAAACAATCTGGTATTTGTGTTACTGACATAGGGTAGCAACAGAATTCTCTTCTGTAAGGAGAAAAGTAATGCCCCGTGTGCCAGAATTACACCGAACTACGTCTCCCTTCTGTTACTTCATTTCTTGTATCCTTTGCCCCAATTTTATTGACACCGTTGATATCATATTGAGTTGTCGTTGGCAAAAGAATGGGAGAGTCCCCCAATTAATGACCGCCTAGCTTATGAAAAATAGTGTGATGAGCAGTTTGCTGTCCATCCTCTGTCACCTCGCCAGAGACACAATGGTAACCCCCCTTTGGATAAAAGGAAGCAGCCTCAGAGATGTAAATAGCTTGCTTGACTTGTGTGGCTAGTTGTCAGCTGTTGCCCTCTGGCCTACTCCAACACTAGAAGCTGGTTTTTCTGAGTGAGCACTGCAGGCTTATGTGTAGACTAGGGACACGAGGCGGCCCTAAAAGACCTTGAAGATCATTTGTAACTGAGGGATGGAAGATTCTAATTCCATCTTGCTTTTGACTTCCTGAGCCGCTGTGGTGAGTGACAAGCTAGCTGCCATACTTTGTCCTTCATCCTCCGTCCTTCCCAGATATGTACGGCTAAATAAGTGGGAGACGAGAGAAAAACATTTTTAGACTCAAGATCAACTCCACTAGAGAACAGAGTCTGGTATTTTTTGTTTAGTGTTGCTTACCTGTATTCTGGATATTTAATGAAGATTTGACATTTCAGAATGCCATAGCTTAATACAGTTGTTTCAGACACATCATGTGTTCTGCTTCAACAGCACACATTTATGAAATTCAATCTAAATTATTGACTCAGTTTTTAAAAAGTAAATCTAGCCGGGCGATGGTGGCGCACGCCTTTAATCCCAGCACTCGGGAGGCAGAGGCAGGTGGATCTCTGTGAGTTCGAGACCAGCCTGGTCTACAGAGCTAGTTCCAGGACAGGCTTCAAAGCCACAGAGAAACCCTGTCTCTAAAAATAAAAAAAAAAAAAAAAAACAAACAAAAAAAAAAGTAAATCTAGAAAAACTTAAAAGCTGCACTTCCCAAATGAATTTTAATTGTTCGTTGTTTCAAGTGCTTTTTATAAAGGTTTTTAAGTTGTATCCTAATATGTGAGCTGGCAAATAATTTTCAGTCTTATTCAAGCATATGTTCCATGCTTAGCTTCTGTATTAGGAACACCACTGACTAGCAGCTAATACAATCAACCAAGCGTTTCTCCTCACAGAACACAGACTAGAGTGTAGCAGGTGGTGGTAGTGAATAGCGGCTAGTAGAGGTGATTGTTGTGTTGCAGCAGTGGGGGAATTCAGCATGCCCTTCGCATAGGATGAGTACAGACCTGAGTGAAGTAATGAGACACAATATGTGGAGGTTTTACTTGGCTTTTGTTTTGGAAGAAAGGTATTCCAGACAAAAGAAACAAGTTCAAAGACTCTGGGGCTCTAGGGATACTGGGGAGATCCAGTGGGAAAGAGCTGTGGCCACACCGGCTAAGGGTGTTTGTGATTTAGTTGGCAGTCTTGGCTGTCACATTAGCCCTGGAGCATGAGAAAAAGATGTGTGAAAAAGGACCCCTTGGATTTTGGTTCAACCATTTTTTATTAAAAAGGGAAAATTTTAAATGGAGAAAGTCTCCTTTAGTATTAAGGTTCCTTTTATATTGTCTGTAACTATTAATGCCACGTGCTGAAATATTACGGTTAAACTTAGAGTTTGGGGTTTGCTATACGGTTGAGAGCAGATTAGCAGAGCGGTGATAGTTATTGAAGCTGAATTGTGAGTACAGGCTTACAAAGTTTCATTATACTGTTTCCACTATACATTTAGTTTTTTGTATGTTTGACACATTCCACGGTGGTTTTAATTAAATTTTTAAGGAAAAGGGGGTGTTTCTAAAATAAAACATGAAAGCTAGAATGCTGGCATAGTAGTTTACAACAAAACCCTGTTTTTTATTCCAGCATTTAGTCAATAACCGAGTTACTCCTCTGAGCTGTGGTGATGCGGGTACAGTGCCAGTGCCAGCTTCGTGCTAGGAATAGTTGTAAGAGCTGTGAGCTGGAGAGTAGTGGAGAGCCAGGCTTTCTCTGTCTCCAAGTAGTTGCCTTTCAAATCAGATTGGATGTTAAAAAATGGACCATTCCCTGGGCAACTACTGTAGGCACTTTCATGTCACCTAGACATTTTTACTAGAAATTAAATTTCTTGTTTAAGAAGACATGAGTCAAAACTATTCAGGTATATAAATAGGTAGATAAGTCTCGACTTAGAACAACATCACAGTCCCTGCCTTAAAGCAGTGTTTAGAGAGAACCTGAGTTAGACGTCCTATCCTCATGCTGTGTTCCTGTGCTGCAGATGACATAGTATGAAAAACCGCATCCCATTATACTTGTTGAGAAGTTGGGCCCCCAAATGTAAGATCCTGGGAAATTACTATTTTTATAAGTTTGCATTTTGATAAAGAAACAGAAATATAGCATTAGCAGTGTTACTGTCTATCTGCCCTCGCCCCCTCCCACTTTTTTTTTTAATTCAAGATAGCATGTAAGCCATCCTTAATTTGGTAATTAACTGAGTATCCTATAAGAAGCAAAGATAGACCTCCAGTGCTGTAAACAAGGAAGCACAGGATATGGTATATTTGAACTATGGGAGTAAAATGAAGATTGTTAACTTCTTGAGGTCAGCATAAAATTATTCAATCCCAACTCTAACACCTCAGACAAAATGTTTAATAACTCCAACCCTCAACTTATTCCTCACTAGAATTATTATCCCTATCCTGTAAGTTTTTTTAATATGATACATACCTTAGTATATGGAATTTTTGAACATAAACTGAGCCCTGACATTGGGAAGTGTTGAAGGAGGAGCGGCAGGGCTGCGTCCCCGGCACCCGGCCGCCCGCATGGCTAGCTTATGCCCTGAAATAATTACACGGAAACTGTATTCTTTCAAACACTGCCTGGCCCGGCTAGTTTTAGCTTCTTATTGGCTAGCTCTTACATATTGTTCTAACCCATTTCTAATATTCTGTGTAGCCCACGAGCTGGCTTACCAGGGAGGCTCTTAACCTGCATCTGTCTGGAGTGGGAGAACCATGGCGACTCCTTGACTAAGCTTCTTTCTCCCAGAATTCTGTTCTGCTTTCTCCGCCTACCTAAGGGTTGGCCTATCAAATGGGCCTAGGCAGTTTCTTTATTAATAAGAAATCACTCCCACATCAGGGAAGTTCAGCGGCATGGCAAAGATGTATTATCTTCTTTGGGGGAAAAAAATCATTGTAGAAATAAGCTACACATGGCTGCGCATACCCCAATGCCTAAACTCAGGAAGTAAGGCAGGAAACTCAAGTTGAAGGCCAGACTGGGTGTATATGCATGGCTGTCTGCCTCTCAATAATAATGATGATAATAGTAAATGTGTTAAAATTTTTGAAAAACTAATAACCAAGCTATGTTTACTGAAATATGAGGCATATGTATGAGTATAGTAACGACAGAAAACTGAGTGTGAATGTGGGGATGTTTGCAGGTCTTCAATGCCGTGCTCATGTGGGCCTTCCTCCAGCTGTTTTCTAGACTCTAGGGAAACCTGCCTTTTATCCATGAGGAGGCTACTGTTCTGTCCATTGTCTGCTCACTAAAGTAAAAGTTTTTATTTTTGTACAGTCTTACTGTATATGAGTCACTGTTGGAGTTTGCTTTCTGTCGCTGTGATAAAGACATAATTAAAACCAACTCGTAAAGAGTTCATGGTCCACCGGCAAGGGAAGCCAAGGCAGGAACCCACGGAAGAGACCAGGTCCACCTGCCTACAGACGATTCTACCCATAGTGGGCTGGGTCCCCCTACCTCAGGTTCACTAGAAAATGCCCGCAGACATGCATACAGGCCAATCTGATGGAGGGTTTTTTTTTTTTTAACCAGGTATATGAAGTTGACAACCATGATTAGGTGTCACAGTTAGATATTTATTTATAAGTCATATAAAATTAGCTTTTTTCTTGTTTCTTTGAATACTCTAAGTCCATAGCAAATAAATGGCTTGTTAAAAATATCATCTTTGCTCTCTTATATTTTCCTATATTTTTAAGACCAAAATGTAAAAGAATAAGAAGCCAACAGGCCTACTAGACTGAGATTATGAAGTATTTTTTTCCCAAATAACTAACTTTATAATCATTAGCTCTGAAATACTGTCCCAAACTTGCCTGAGTCCTAACTTGTTTTGATAAATTCAGTGACAATTTCTTGAACTGTCATAAACATGTTTTAATAGTTTCTAATCTGTACCTATAAATCTAGTGTTTCTACAATTTCTTGAGTTACTGTCATAAACATGTTTTAATAGTTTCTAATCTGTACCTATAAATCTAGTGTTTCTACAATTTCTTGAGTTACTGTCATAAACATGTTTTAATAGTTTCTAATCTGTACCTATAAATCTAGTGTTTCTAAACATGTTAGACAAAACTGAGATTTTGCATACTAGACAAGGAGGGGCTGTATTTCCCTCACCCTTAGATAATACATTTCAGTTAGTTCTACCTTGTAACAGACCAAACTTACTAGAAGAGTACCTCACACAAAGACTGACCTAGTAGATAATGATGTTTAAATTCATGATGCTGACTTCTGTTATTAATCTATTTTTTGAAAATCTAGTCTTAGGTACAACAGATTTCTCTAAGGAAATTAATATTTAATATATATAAACACGGCAAGTAAGCTGCTCCTTCCTCATCGATGCCATCTCTCTGAACTCCTGGCACCCTGCTTCTTCCAGGCTCATTTCTTCCTCAGTGAAGATGTCCCCTATTCTCCTGTTTTCTCCTCTTCCATAGCTGTTCCTCTCTACTTAGATTTATTACATCACTCAGAAAAAAGTAGAGTCGCCTGTGTTGGTTTTCTGTTGAGCATCTTTAACCCTTTGCAGTGCTTACACTCTGATTAAGTTTTGTTTCTTCCCTACAAGAGTGTTAGATTCTTAAGAACAGAAACTTTGCCTGTTTTGTTGGAAACCTAAATGCTTACCCTAGTTAGTACTAGTTAGTAACTAGCATGTGTGTGTATGTATATATATGGATATACATACATATAGAAGGAGAGAACCTACTGCCACAAGTTGCGCTCATGATGTACATAATGCCACATATGTACATACGCATGCACACATACACTAAATAAAATGTAATTTTAAATTTTTAAAGAAAGACTAAATATTTGTTGAAGGAATGGATGGAGTAAAGGAACAACTGGCATATATTTTAAAAGCTAAAAGGAGTTTTTCTTGATAATCCTTTAAAGATGATGTTCATCTAAGTGTGTTTCCTTTGTCTCTGTGCTTTCTGAGTTTTACCTCACCATTGGAGGTGAAGTTTTAACATGTAAAATTCTAATATATGCCTCTCCAAAAGATCTGCTGCTTAGACTAAGTAAAGAACACTCTCAGAATGACAGTGCAGTTTACATGGCTGACCTCAGGATCAGGGGCTTGCCATTATTGCTGCCCAGTTCTTAGTTACAGTGTACTGCCTGTGTGCAGTATATGGCAAGTTTGGAGGTCTCAAGGAAGTAGTTGGTCTCTGGCCCTATATAGGCTCATTAGTAAAGAATATGAGGACCCTTCAGCTAAGAGTGCTGATAATCCTTTGAAAGTATTAAGCCAGGAATAGTAAGGCCCAAGGAATGGATATAAGACTCAGAAAAATAAAGCAAAAGAAAGGATTGTGAGAGGAGAGAAAGGTAGGCATTGTTTTATTAGCTAACCACCACATCTGGATTTTTCTACAGTAAAGGGCAAGCGCCATATATTCTAGAAGAGAGCTACAGATGGTACAGCACTTCAGATATCACATCTGGTGGTTAGTTGAAAGTACCCAGAAGGCGCCATATGAACAGAGACCTTTTTTTCCTCTATTATATAGACACTGCTGCCTTGCCTTAGCCACCATCACAGCCATATAATAAGAATGGGTATGTTGAATGTATCCAACCTCATTTTCTGACCTTTAAAGAGAACACCTCCACTTGGGGCCTTGAGAGATGGCCCAGTGGATAAGAATTTTATTTCACTTATTAACAATTTCCTAGCATATATTTGAGCTGTGTTTATATATTCATACACTTACTTTAAATAATCACAGTTCACAGAAGAGAAGCTTGGCCAAGCAGAGAAGACGGAATTGGATGCACACTTGGAAAACCTCCTTAGCAAAGCCGAATGTACCAAAATATGGACAGAAAAGATAATGAAACAGACTGAAGTGCTTTTGCAGCCAAATCCAAGTAAGATATTGCTTCTCGTTCGCCCTATGTATTGCTGGTAAACGTTTTTAAGGTTGAAAGTACAACTTGTATTTCCATTACTGTTTCAGGACCTTTTTTTTTTTTAAGAAAGAAAGAAAGAAAGAAAGAAAGAAAGAAAGAAAGAAAGAAAAGAAAGAAAACAAAAAACTTTTCATTGTCATTTAGGAAGACAGCAAACATTCACTTGTGACTGCCACATGTACCTGTGTGCATGCACGTGAGCACAAGTTTTAGGTCATACTATTGTTGGGTCCGAAGAGTGCTCCCAGGCAGAATGCTTGTATCCTTCAAGCTTTGTGTCTGTGTTTAGACTCTCTGTAAGAGAGAATTAATACATGTTCATGATAAAACATGTCAGATATGGCTTCTATAGCTGACTAGCCTGATTTTATTTAAGATGATGAACATAACTTAAGAGTAGATTAAAGGCAGCTTCACTGGATATTAAGTTTATAATTCTCCTTCTGAAACTTAAGATCTCTAAGTATACCCAAATAACAAGTTTAACTTGAGAATGTTTCTGTACTGAGGTATATTACCAGGTTTCTGAACTATAAACTTTTAGAGATTATATAATAGTCAACATATAATTATATATTATTAAATTTAAAGGTATATACTTGAATAAATGCTAATTTTACATTTTTAAGACGTAGTAAGTGACTAGAAGGGGAACAAACTTCTAAATAATTCTGCTTTTTTGAAATAATTACTGATTGTTTTAAAATTCTTTTCATTTGTTTTGGTTTTGGGGAAAAGGGTCTTCACTGTGTAATAGAGGCTGGCCATGAACTAGAGTGTCCCCCTCCACCTCCCCAGTACTGGAGTTACAGGTCTGTCTTTTGAAACACTGGTATTTGTAACCTTTCTCCTAGATGCCAGGATAGAAGAATTTGTTTATGAGAAACTGGATAGAAAAGCACCAAGTCGCATAAACAACCCAGAACTTCTGGGACAATATATGATTGATGCCGGGACCGAGTTTGGCCCAGGGACAGCTTATGGTGAGTAAAAGTGGAAGGTTTGGAAAAGAACTGTTTTCACATTTAGATTTCTAATGTTTAGAGATGTGAGCGTACAGTAGAGCCAATCTTAACTTTGTTTATTATGTTAAAATTACGATGGAAAAATAGTTAGTTACTTAGAACATTCACATCTTAGATCTTTTAGGTCTAAATGTTAAATGAATTCATGTTATTAGCTTTCATTGCCTGTATTATAGTAGAAATTGTTGTGATGACTTTCATTGAAACTTTGAGTGCTTATTGGTATTAGAGCACTTCACATGCTAAGTGTTTGACCAGACCATATTGCTTCTAACTTCTGCAGTGTTAGCCCAGCTGTGTAGTAGTCGTCCTCTGGATACATAAATGCGCTGCATTTCTAGCTCATGTTTTCCGTCACTGTTTACAGGTAACCCAGCTTGTTAGTTCCTGGACCAACTTGTATTACATTGGAAGTTTTTTGTTGTTTTATTTTGCTCTGTGTACATGTATGTGACTGTGTATGTCTATATGAATGTATGTGGTGTACATACCACAGTGCTTATGCAGAGATCAGAGGACAGCTTGAAAGAATTAGCACTCTTTTATCATGTGGGTCCCAGGAATCAAATTCAGGTTGTCAGGCTTGGCAACTCTGGCCCCACACAGACCACAAAGTTCCATGTTTCTATTATCCGACCGAATTTTCTTATGACATAGCACTATTTAAGATTTCTGTGTTAATATTCTGTTTGTGTCAGAAGGAAACAAACCTAAATATTATTTAATGCCACTAGTTGACTGAATATATATATGTAACATTGAAATATTTACAGTATATTCTTTGTAATTTTAAATCTGAGAGATCTGAAATGATTAACTTTGAAATTAAAGTGTGACTGCTAATTTTAGAGAAATTTCATACTTTATTGCTTGCTTGTTCTGAGCTCATACAGAATCTATTACCAGAAAATAGTGGCCAGAAATTGGTATCCTAGGCATTGGTCTAAGCACAATATAATATATTTATTATTTTGGTAAATCCTCACTTTTTATATCTTTTGGAGTTTTGAGACAGAGTTTTGCTATGTAACATTTTTAATAGTATCAATTCTGTTGTGCCCATTTTAAAAACAAGGAAATTGAGGTTTGAAGAGGCTAAATAATCTGTGACCACCCTGATAACAATTCAAAGGCAGATGTCTGTATGCAGAGACAGGAGCTCTTAACTCCTTAACAATGTGGATCCAATCCCATTTAACATAAAAGGATTAAGATCTAAAGAACCCAAGTTTACTGGAGGTAGAATTGGAAATAGAATCCTGATCACATGCTCTTTCTGTCTGCTCTAACTCTGTTTAAATATCTGGACTAAACTCTAGTGAAACATGAGCCTGCCTGCCTGCCTGCCTGCCTGCCTGCCTGCCTGCCTGCCTGCCTTCCTTCCTTTCTCTCTCCCTCCTTCCTCTCACCTTCGGTCCTTCCCTCCCTTCCCCCTCCCTCCTTTTCTTTCCCTTCCTTCCTTCCTTCCTTCCTTCCTTCCTTTCTTTCTTTCTTCCTGAGGGAGAAAGAGTTTCTTTTGGCTCACACTTGCAGATTACAGCAATAGACCCCTAAGAGAGATGGTTCATGCATCTGTATTAGAAGCTGAGATGAACACTAACTAGTTAGTGCTCAGCTCATCCTGTATTTCAGAGTCTGCAGTCCCTGCCAGGGAGAGTCGCACTCACAGTGAAGATGTGTGTTCCTTCCTCAGTTAACACAGCACAGGCACACCCAGACTCTGTCATGTTGACACTTAACACTAACCATCACCCCTAGCTTATGATAACAAAAATGAATGAATTTCACATAAAGCTTTATAAATGTCTTCAAGCATTCTTGGTTTGATGTGGTGTTTCCTGTGAGCCATGTGATAGTCTAGTGAATCCCAAAAGCTAGAGCCCCTTGTTATAGGAATAAAAAGCAATCAGAGGTCGTCCATGGGTGCTCCAGTACCTCCACACTACCCCCTAGTGCCTCAGTGTGAGCTTCTTAAGATGTAAACTCTAATTTGTGGATATTTCAGGTGTGTATGGATACAGAAAAAGGGCAGATTATGACTTGGTCTACTTGTTAAGTACTTTAAGTTTTGTATTGGGCTATATCCTCAGGCCAGCTTTGTGCCTTCCATGTATCTGTGCTCTTTGATCTGTTAGAAATTATAGTTATGGCTGGGCAGTGGTGGCACACACCTTTAATCCCAGCACGCGGGAGGCAGAGGCAGGTAGATCTCCGTGAGTTCGAGGCCAGCCTGATCTACAAAACTAGTTCCAGGACAGTCACCAAAGCTACAGAGAAGCCCTGTCTCAAAAACAAAACAAAACAAAAAAATTATAGTTATCATGTGCTAGGCAGTTAGTTCATCTTTGTCATTTTCATTTAGATATTTACTTTTAATTTGCTTTTTAAATAAGTATACCTTTCAAGTAATCTGTTTGATTCTGAGTTAAACAAGCTGACAACTAACTTGAGCAAATCAAATAGGTAAGTTACATATTAATTTTCTAACATTACTAGACAGAGCTTTTAAAAATCACACAATTTTTTGTTCTTTTGCAGGTAATGCCCTTATTAAATGTGGAGAAACACAGAAACGAATCGGAACAGCTGACAGAGAGTTGATTCAAACATCAGCCTTAAATTTCCTCACTCCTTTAAGAAACTTTATAGAAGGGGATTACAAAACAATCGCAGTGAGTTGGGAAATATTCCATTTGTCAAGTAATTTAGATTTATGCTTAGTTTTTAATGGATAATCCTAGTGCTGGTAAATGTTGCAGATTAAAACATTTAAATACCCCGAACAGGTGCATATTCATCCAAACATAAACCTCAAAGAGCTATTAGTAACACAATCCCCATTTTTCAGTCCTGCGTTGTTGATATGCCTGTGCATTGATTTCCATGCATTACCAACTCTCAAATCTGTGGTGAATTTGTTAGCATTCAGGCACACCTAGCCCACCCTTTGGAGACCTGGCAGAATGCATCACCTCTGTGCGCATGCCTCATAAGCAGGCAGTACCCTAACCTGCTGTGTGGTCTCTGTGCACATGCACTGTGCTCTTCCCTTTAAAAGGCAGAACCCTTCTCTCTCTTCTTCTCTCCATAGCCCCCACCCATCTGTCTGCCTCTCTGTGTTTCTCTTAGTCTCTCTGCCTCTCTATACCTCTGTGTGTGTGTCTCTCTCTCTGTCTCTCTGTCTCTCTGCATTCCTGTATCTCTCTCTCTCACCCCCCACAAGGCCACTCTGCACTCCCCCCCAATAAAGAAACCCTGCACATGAGTGCTGTCTGTTTGGCATGTCTCTCTCTCACCCACCCTGAGGCCCCTTGGTTCCAGCGCACCAAGGTCTCTCTCCGTTTTACAACAGAAATTCCTGTAATGGTTATGAAAACAAAGTGTCATTATAGTATACTTGCATATTAATTTAAACTGAAACTAGAAACCTACTAATTAATTCTGCTTCTATACTTTGAGTTATTTATAAACAACAGCTATACTAATTATTTCTGCTCCTGTACTTTATCTGTGTGTTCCAGGAAGTGTATTATTTTTAAAATGTTTATTTCATAAACATTTATGTTGTCACTTTCTTTCTAAATTTAATCTGTTCGTCCATGAACTTGTCTTATTTCTGACAGAGAAGGACGCTGTTAACAGATATTTTTCCATAAGACTTTCTCAGTGCCACTCACTGGTATACATACAACCACAAACTTCAATTTGCATATTCTGTTCTACAGAGTGTCCTAGAAGTTTCAGTATGCTTAATCATGACTTCATCTCTGTATACAAAAGTAGTTTGGGCTTGACCTAAATTGATATAACTAAGAAAGATACTAGCTTAAGCCAAGAATATGGCTCAATATGAGAGTACGTACCTAGCATGAAGACTGGGGTTCAGTTCCTTCCACTAAAAAATTAACATGTCAGTAGAATGAAATCTGATATATGGAATATAAAAATTAAGAAAACAGACTCAACTATATTTAGTATAAAGCATTATACAGTAACTTGAGTTATGTTTATGTGTTATTTTGTCTATAAATTTGAAATTCTGTTTCAGAGTAGTTGAGTTACATTTGTTGCTGTAACATAGTAAAAACAGCTTGCCCAGTCTGTAAGGGAGATCACATAGGGCTTCACAGAGCCTTGTCCTAGACCACTCTAACAATCTGAAACAGCTTCTTAGCTCTAGCCACCTCTGACACTCAGCCAAATGGCTCTCGGTTGTGGGAGCTAGACTGCACTGTAGGATGGTTAGCAACATCCCTGGCTTCTGCCAAGTAAATGCTATTTTAACACCTCCTAGTTGTAGCATCCGAAGATCGATAGTGCCAGATGTTCTCCAGAGGGAAACCTGGTGGGAGGGAAACATATGGCAAGATATTAAAACTAATACACCTTTATTTCTGGGGCATCTTTTCCAAATTCCTTGGATTCAGAATCTGGAATGTCTTGAAGTAGTTTTAAAAGGGCAGGTAAGGGAAATGTTGGGTATAACGTGCCTATAATCGTAGCATTCAGAAAGCAGAAGCAGGAGTATTGCCACAGTTCAGGGCCAGTCTGATCTGGTCTACATAGTGGATGTCCTATCTCCAAGCAAAAAGGAAAGATACCTGTAGGATGTCTCTATGAGCTTACATACATCCTCCATGTAGGGTGATTTTTTTTAAATGTGGATAATCTTAGCTTTACTTTGTTCTTTTTGATTATTTGTAGAAAGAAAGAAAACTATTACAGAATAAGAGACTGGATTTGGATGCTGCAAAAACGAGACTTAAAAAGGCAAAAGCTGCAGAAACTAAAAGTTCTGTAAGTAGTATACGTTTACCTGTTTCTAATAGAGAAATACTTTGGCTTAATAACTTCAAAAGTATTTTACGAGTACACTGTTTAAGGTATAGACTAGACTATGGCATTTGGAGTATATTTTTGTCTTGAAAGAGACTGATGAGAACTAAATACATCCAAGTAAATACAAGTGGTCATTATCGAGCGGCATTAGTCCCCAACACCGAGGTGGTACTACAACTGCTCTGTGCTTCATTCCTAGTGTGCATGGCTAATAGGCTTTTTAGGAAAATAATTATAGTAGGAAATGGGAGAAGATTTTAATCAAGATGAAAATGAATCAAGTTTGAGAATATTTGCCTGTGACAAAGTAATTTTCTTTCCATATTTAACTCAAAATAAGTAAAGGAATTATCATCAAGAATAGTTCCAAAAGATTGAATAGTATTAGCTGGGCTGTGGTGATGCATGCCTTTAATCCAAGCACTCAGAAGGCAGAGACAGGCAGATCTCTGTGAGTTTGAGGCCAGCCTGGTCTATGAGAGCTAGTTCTAGGACAGCCAGCACTGTTACACAGAGAAATTCTGTCTCAAAAAAAAAAAAAAAACAAAAAAAAAATTGAATAGTTTCCCTCGTAGCTTGTTCAAAGAGGAAGAAATCCATGTGGATTAATAGGTTTTGCTATAATTTTTTAGAAAACCAGCCTTAAAATAGTTTTTAAATATCTATTAAAATGATAGTCAAGTGTTTTTATGTATAACTTTTATTAAGTAGTTTTAGTTTTAAACTTTAGTCTAATAGGCATGCTGTCTATATTTTCATTCTATTATATACAGCACTTAAATTAGATTTAAATTCTAACAGTTTGAAAAATAGTATAAGCGAGTTTGTTAGAGGAAATAACATTTTAATTTGAGCTTAGGGATATGTTTTGTTAAGAGGCATATCTGGACTCCCCACCACAACCACAATCATTTTATAATAAGCATATAGTTACAATGCTAGTGATGTCGATAGTTTTCTTTGGAGAAAGAAAGGTTGAAAATTGCTCTGTGGTGAAATTGGTGCTTTGTAGTAGCTACCGCTAGGGAAGGGCTAGCTTTGTAGTAGCTACCGCTAGGGAAGGGCTAGCTTTGTAGTAGCTACCGCTAGGGAAGGGCTAGCTTTGATAAGAGATTAAATGCAAATTCGCTCTCATTTCCACGTCTCCATTTATCATGACATCATTACCACAGTGTGATTCCCCTTAAGCAAGCTATCTGTAAAATTAAAATTTATAAAAGAATGCTGTAGATAGCAAGAGACCCTACTGGTTTCTAGTTGTTAAGATAAATGAATTCGTTTGAATTTACTTTAATATAATTAGGAAAGTCTTACCAAGAATCATTGGGAAAAATTATCTGGAGTAGAAAAAACTTTGATGATTATAGAATAATATTACCAGGCTCCAACACAAACATTTATTTAACAGCCATTATGATGCTTCTTTATGATGGCTGCTTTTCAACCTAGAAAAGTGCCGGAAGCACAGATCCAGCTGTAACTGCCCTTTGGTGTTACTGGCGAATGGCACCACTGCAGGATGCGTAGGAACTAAATAGAGTCACCTTCTGAAGAGTGAGTCTTCTTGAGACATCTGGAAAAGGTGTTGGCAGTTGATACAGCCATGAAATTTCATGTTCAGAATTAAAAGATGATACAGGTGGTATAACCCAGCAATTTATGTAAAGGTTTTTAGAATTACTACAATGAACAATCAAATTTATCTTTAGACAAATAATGAAGATATTAGCCCAGACAAAAATTTGTTCTTATTTTTTCTCAATGATTCATTCTTTTCATTCTTTTTCAGACATTATTGCCATAAGTCTGAATTACTTTTTGCCTTGTCTTTCAAGTAAATGAAAATGATACAGACCACTGGAAGTTTAGTTTTGCTTTTTATTTACTTATTTTTTTGCTTTTTTCTGATACTTTTCTTGGTGTTGAGTTGGCAAGTACCCTAAATATTGTTTAATTTCACTGTTTGTTTTGTTTTTTAATGTGGATTGTTTTGTGACTACCCATTACTGTCCTACTGAGATCTGGGAGCTAGGTTTATTCTACTTTCTAAAATGCGTCCTTTCCTGTTTTCCTGTTGTCGCTCTTTTAATTCTCTTTGTGAGATGTACTCTAATACAAAGTTCATTAATAGTGCAAAAATTTCTGCTACCCTCAGTTCACAAATTTTTAGATTAAACTTTTTGATGATTTAGCCCTATCAGTAAAAAAGTTTTTGACCTACCTGTGTCTAGTATTGACTAATGTATGTCTACTGGTTACTGTATTGAAGAAAGGTAAAACAACATCACAGGCGTTTCCCAAATATGCCGGCTTAGTGGAAAAGGGAATGAGTAGCTTGTGGATGCAGTGAGACTTCTGTGAGAGTGTGACCTAGCTAGAGACTACTTGCCCTGGGTTCCATTCCCTGCATTACAAAGTAAATAATAATAAAGTGAAATAAGCCAGACATAGATACACCTGTAATCCCTCTGCTACGTAGTGATGTTGAGGCTGGCATGTGATGAATGAGACATGTCAAAAAAAAAAAAAAAAAGTAAATAAGTTTGCCAGAATCAAGAAAAAACTTGAATTAGTGCATCTAAATTATATTTGGTAACTTAATATTAGCTTTTTAAAATTTTAATGAGAAAAAACACTGTTTTTAGTGTCTTCTAGCATTTAAAGGAATCTGAGAAAAACGGTCCTTCAGGTAATTCACATATCATATGTTCTGTCCATGGACATCTAAATCTTTGCCCTGTAATCCTAGTAGGTTAGAACACTGTCTGCACCCATAACTTTACCTGTACGCATTTGCGTTTTCAGCTTATTAGAATTACAGGGACTGTGTGACTTTCATACTTATGAGGAAGATCTGGCTGAGAACTGAAAGAGGAAATGGTTAGAGATGCCAAAAATACACAGCATAGAAATGAGGTTTTAATAGGAAGTTTGTTGGTATAAAGTAGGCATTTACAGATGAAAATTTAATTGTGTTAGTTAATTTGTAATTTTTAAAGAGGTATGTTTCTCCCAAACAAGTCTGGTTTGAAATAAAATACCAACTGGCTTTTATTTTGAAAATTCTTTATCTTTGGGTAGGCACCGTTATATGAAATAGGTAGAAAAGCAAATACAGTTTGTTTTTTAGCTAGAAAGAAGAGTAGCTCTTTAATGCTTTACTGTACAGAAGTGACTTGTTCTGGTGTGTTCATAGGTATAATGTGTTCTTTGTCTCCCACCTATGCACTTAAGCAACTAAACTCCGCCCGCCTTGAAGGAGATAGCATTATGGTAAATTTCTCTTACATGCTCAACTTCCTGCATGTAAAATGGCTGAAGGTTTGTTGGCCTACTGTGTTTTCTACATCTTCAGTAAAATGCCTTCTCTTGCTATTAGCTACATGTAGAAATCTAAAATAGCTAAAGTTAATTATTGATTTTGTCTGGGGGAAAAAATGCCACTTGAAGTGATACTGAAACCTGAAGATCTGCCAAATTTGTAGGTCATGTTAAAACAGATTTTAAAATCATTGGTGTGTACAAAACAGATGTTAAAATTATTGGTGTATAATGGTATACTGCTCTTTTACATTAGCAGAGATGGTGGTTTAGGGTTAGTTTAGATGCAGTTTCATTGTGCTACTTGTAGCAGTGAAAATCACCAAGATTTACCTTACTTGGAAAACAGTAAAAGTATGCAAATTAACTTTGTTTTTTGTTTAATAACTTCAATATTTACCATATTGTTATTGAAATTCAATATAGAATTTTTTTTTCTGCCATTCTAGGATGAGACAAATTCCCATGGCCAGGGCTATTCCTTATCCAGTACAAACTCACTTAAAATTTCAGAGTAGTGATAGCCTGGAATAAGAGAATGAAAGTTGTTTATAATAACTAATGTACACATTGAGCTCAAATTGAAGAAAGTTTTGAGATGTTACATTTGTTTTGGTTTTTGTTTTTTACTTTAATAAAATTATGTGAAGATAGGAAAAGAGTTAATTCATGTTAGCCTCTAGCAATTTATACTCCTTGGAGCTGGGTACATGGTTCAGTCAGTATAGTGCTTGCCACGCACTCAGGAGGACCTGGGTTTGGATTCCCAGCACCCACATAAAAAAAATCCATATATTGCAGTGCATATCAACAACCCCAGCACTGGAGGCCAGGGTAGAAATGGGAAGGTCCCTAGTGCTAATTGGTAAGCTCCAGGTTCAGTAAGAGACCCTGGTCAAACGTAAGGTGGAGAGCAGACAAGAAAGACACCTAAAGTCAATCCCTACCCTCTACATATATGCACCACTACCACCACCCCATCATGCACACACACACACACATGCAAATTAATTCTTGGAATTATAGTATAAATAAGTTACTGCTATTTAAAGTGATAAGAAATCAATAGTCTACTTAATAATTAATGGGTCATTAATTGCTTTTATTCTATTAGCATTGAATTAAAACATGAAAAATAAACCTGATGTTTTGGAATTTGCCTTTGTTCCCAACTGTTAATTTTTGAAGTCCTGGCTAAATTACAGCTTTTGTTATATAGCAAGAGAACGTATTATTTATTTCCATTTTCCTATCTATAGGTAATTGAAAAGGGTGAGACTATTTCAGTCATTTTTAATTTTGTATAAATCAGGTTTTCTTTTGTCCATGGTAAAAATATCTTAAACAATTTGCAAAACTTTGCTTGATTTATTAATAGCATTTGTTTTACAGTCATTTATCATCTACTTACATTAAGATCTTTAACTGGCAACCTTAAATTTATTATATTTCAAATTGATTGTTTCTAAAAAAAATGGTTGTATCAGTAACATTCAATGTCTATATATCCTTTTATTTACTAAAATTTTAGAATTTATACCTGAAAGAAAAGTTAGAAATCATGCAGTTCAAACCTCTCATTTTATATTAGAGACTCTGTCGGTTTTCTATGAAAGGTCAGATATTCTCAATTTGCGAAAACTTAAGTTATTATCTGTAGAGTTATAATATTTTGAAGTTGGTAGTATTGATGAATATAAAAGGCAGACTTCAAAATATATTCAGCTATACTGAATTACATTACTATTGTGTTCACTTTATAAGGGGGCGACTATGCCATTTAAATTATATACATTTTTCTATACTAAGTTGTAGGAAATGTTAAATTCCAACTTCATTTCATGCTCTAAAATTCTCTCTAATTTTTAATGCTGGCTAGATTTGGGCAGAGGAAGTGACAAAAGTAAGTAAAATTTTTAAAATTTTAAACTATAGATCATGAAACAAGAGTTTAATTGATAATCATTCAATAAATGTTAAATGGACACGAGCCTTGGAACCACTCACAATTATGGACTATGTTGCAATTCTTTTAATATCAAAAAGTTAAGGAAATTATCAAGTTTGTTTACTATTAGCAATTTCACACAGCAGTGCAATTGAGCTCCAAAGATGCTGTATATACCATGGGGAATCCTAGACAACAGTTAAGCAAGTGGCACCATATTAGTGCCTTGCTAGAAGACAGGTGAAATAGTTGATTTATTCATTGACAATTATTTTTTCAAATGTAAAGAATACTGAATGTTGTGACCGCCTGTCTTCAGAGAACTGGATTTTAGGGAAGTAAAGGTAGTTCTCTTGAGTATCAAAATGAAATTTTCTTTCACTTTAGTAGAAAATGTAAATTTTATACCTGTAAAATGTATAGTTCATAGCTGCATAACAAATAATTTTATTTATAATCAACATCATAATTACATTTTCATCATTGTACAATGTGACAGATCTTTTTTTTTTGTCTTCTCCCTTAGTGTCATACTGCTACTTGTAAAAGCTCACCAGTCTGCCTGTTGTCAGCTGCCCCTCTGCCTCTCTTACTATCTCTCACTTTTTCTTAGCTGGGAAAAGAAATTAAATAGGAAAAGTATAATTTTAGTGCAGATTCATTTCCAAGTCTCATGTGTCTTGCTCACTTTCAGCTGACACCTACCTAAGCTTGTCATTTCTTTATGTTTGTATGCAAGTAGTCATGTTAGTACATCAGACTGTACTTTGACAAACACCTGTGTGCATCCAGCCCACTTTACCTTTGAAGTTCATTTATTTTGATTTCCTGGAGGTTTTTCTATTAAGAAAAGCTATTTTGTAGTCCATCAAGCAGAACAAGTGTGACCTGAGGTGATCGATAAGGTGTTTTTTATACCTTCTGGGAAAAGAACACTGATTCTTTCCATGAACTTTTTTCTGCTTCCTACTGCCTTCCAGAGAAAATTGACTTTAGGCCTCTTTAAGTATTTGGTTTGACTTGAAGTTAATGTATTAACTTCAATTATTTTGTAATACAATTCAAGCTTATTTTTAAAAATCTAGTCTAGTGATCAGTGTTTACTTAGTCCCCCTCCCCGAGTTCTGCCACCAGTAGGATGGTAGATCAACAGACTGACCGTGCACATCTTTGTTAGTTGGCTTATGGGGTCACTTTTGTCACCAAAGAATAAAAGAAAGAAGGCTATGGGAGGAAAGAGTTTGACCTTGCTCTAATACATCTAAGAAGTGATATCAGTTGTCTGCCTTTGGGTCACTATGCTGGAGACTCACTAGTGATGGTTTCCAGTAGTGAAGCTAAGCTTGTTGTTTCAAATAAACAGTGAAGTTTAATTTTTCCTCCTCATTTTCCTACCAGCTACTTCTAACCAAAGTTTTGACATCTTTAATGCCAGGATTTAGTATATTTAGATTTTGTTAACTTTACAGTAAACTGTTTTGTTCCTGCACCAAACAGAAGCCAGCAGCACCACCTACTTCTCCTTTCCAAAGTCAGTAGCTGGATCTTGGTGACTTGAAGAGTATTTGTATCATCAAATCAGGGTCTTAGTGGACTTCCTTTTCCTTGAGTCAGTGTACTAGCACACTGAAGACCAGCCGTAACTGCTAGGAAACTTTTAAACCCTAATCTTAATAAATAATGCTCCTGACTAAAGCCTATTGTACATACTTTAGAGAGAAATTGTAAAAGAAAGTTAAGTTGTAAGACAACCAAGAACTGTCTTTGCAACAAGTGGTTATTAACTAAACACAAGAGGTGGAAATCCTTTGGCTTTAAAATTGAAGACTGTTGTTAACTTTAAGTATGGGGGAGAAAAGCACACAGTAATAATATTGTTTTATACTTATAAAACTATGTATGGTACTGAGGATTTTATAAAAAATACTAGAAAGGTATACGATATCATGACTGTCATAATATATCTTTAGACTGTAACACTTTGGCATGAGTCAGGTGTGGGTGAGGAATAAATTCTGTTCATTGTGTTTGGTGACACAATTAGGAAAACCAGCTAAGGCGCGCGTGCACACACACACACACAGAGTTAGGGAATCTTCAAATTCTTATTTGGAGTATATTTGGAGTAAATTTTTTTGAGGGGTCCTGTGTAAAGTAAACTAAATCTTCTAATGAGATCCTTAAAGTGTATTCTGATTTAAGTCTGAACAGGAATTACGAATAACTCAAAGTGAATTTGATCGTCAAGCAGAGATTACCCGACTTCTGCTAGAGGGAATCAGCAGTACACACGTGAGTATTGAATCATTCTGAACAAAAGACGCTGAGACAGCACTTAGGCAGCTAAGGAGTTTGTGAAGTTAAAGGCACCCTGAGCTACATAACAGACACTGCCTTTAAGGAAAGCTTCTTGCATAGTTATCTATCAAGGAGAGTTTGAAGTGTGAGATTTTAGAAGCAATCTGAAGAAATATTTAAATTTTATATATCATCACCCATTTTGCCTGTTTCATAAATCTTCATGTTGCTTCTTCTTGGCTAAACAAAGTTTGTCAATATATTGTTCACCCATAATTAGGCCTAATAAACCTGATCAGAATATGAGCATTAATCAACTCTGTAGTAGGATACTACAGGTTACCTCCCTCGTGACAGTGTTATCCTTTGTTCCTCCTGGCTTGTGCCATTTGAAGAACTGAGAACTGACTGTAACTTTTCCATTGCAGGCCCATCATCTCCGCTGTCTGAATGACTTCGTAGAAGCCCAGATGACGTACTATGCACAGTGTTACCAGTACATGTTAGACCTCCAGAAACAACTGGGAAGGTAGCAATTTCCTTTTCCTATATGAAAGTCATGTAGGTCAAGTGGACTGGAAAGGAGGCTCAGTGAGTGAGCACTAAGCCCACAAGCAGGAGGACCTGAATAAAGCAGACTCAGCAGCATGCATCTGTAATCCCAGCACCCTGACAGCATCGTGATAGGCAGAGACAAGAAAAGCCCCACTTCTGGGCCTGGGAACACGAGACTTACAGGGACACAGGGTTCGCAGGAACATGAGGTTAGCAGGGACATTAGGGAGGGCATTAGAGAAGAAAAATGAATGAAAGCAAAGCATGACACGTATGCATGAAAATGCTGGGATAAAACTCATTATTTGCACAGTAACAACACAAAAAAGACTTCTTTAAGTCCTGATGAAAGAAGTTCACATGTTTTCATTTTTTATGTGTGAGGCTGGTGAGCTGGCTCAGTGGGTAAAGGCTCCTGCTGCCAGGCGCCTGATGGCTTGAGTTCAGTTCCCCCAACCCACATGGTAGCTGGAGAGAACTGGCACCTAGAAAGTGTCCTCTGACCACTACATGCCCACCTTGGCGCACATACATGCACACACCACAGAAAATAACTGAAATTTAATAAAAAACATTTAAGATTTTTATCTATAATCCAATAGCAGGGATGACAATGGAAAACGTTAAGGATTTTATTAGTTTGTATACAATTCCTTTTTGTTTTGTTTTGTAATTATCAGATTTTTAAAGTAACAGAAATCAATTTTACCAGAGATGAGAAAATAATTAAGGGAATAATTTTTTAGTGCTATTTAAAGTATTTAAAGTTAAGTATTTGAGACTTAACTTTTCTCTTACTACTTAATACTTTTTGCTGTTAGTTGAAGAAGATAAATACAGCTACATTAATACTTTGTTACCTTAAAGGTAAGTTAATTCTTCATATTAACTTTGGAATAATCCAAAGACCTCGAGCCCCTTACATAATTATTTCAAGTATGATAATATACTTTAAAGCAAAATAGTATATAAAGCCCATAGTTGAATCAGTTAATTCTCAAATATTTATATAACACCTGCCTTAGGCCCCAAGTACATTCTGGAGTTATATCAGCAAACAAAACAAGCTAGGTACTTGCCCTGATGGAGCTCACGTTGTAAGGTGACATTGGAGATAATATAAAGTCTAAGCAGAGCACCAGCTATGGATAGAGCAGCCATATAAAATGGGAAGGAGCAGGGTGTTGTGAGGACATCTATTTGTGGCCCAGCTGCATCTAGCTGAGTTTTCCTAGTGGAGTTATTTTACTGGGAGACATGTAGATGAAGAACAAGGCAAGAGAATGTTACGGGCAAACCAGGGTACAGAGGAAAGAGAAGCAGCAAGGTTCTCTTTAAGTAATCACCAATACTTCATTCTAGTGAAAGCATAGCAGTTAATGGAGGAAGGAATTGGTTGTAAGGCTAGAGAAGTTGACAAGGTTGCCTTAAAAGTAAACCATTAAAAGGTGTTTGGCATTTATATAACCATTAAGAGGAGTAATAGGTGAGAAGGAAAACATTAAAATACTATTTCAAGAAATACTGTTTAAAAGAGTCACTGCCGTGTCCATTCTGAAAACTTATCCTTCAGATTTAGGCCTAGACCAAAGTTAGCCAACATCACAAAAGCTAATTTTAGATCTTCAAAATAAACTGTAGCCTGTTATTTTTAGATCTGGTAGTTCTGCCTGGTTTACATCTTACATTCTTAGTGTTTTATTAGTAGTATTCGTGTCTGAAGGCAGAGCACTTTAAGCCTGAGGAATTGTAACAGTTCCTTCCCACTGTGCCCTGATACTCTGGAAGTCAGCAGATGGGCTGTGCTTGTTAACCGTTCATACTTAATTCTCTTAAAACCACTCAGACAGAGCTTCATGGCTGGTGCTGAGGGGAAGCACTGTACAAAGTCAAGCCAGCGCTGTTCTGGTGAAGACGGCCATCCTGCCTCTGCCTCCCATTAAGGACCAGTGACAGGAGTGGAACCCTTTCATCGAGATACATTTTCCAAGAGGGTCAGATGTCATGGCACATGTCCAAAATCCCGGCAACTGCTTATTCAGCTTATAGTTACTGAAATTAATAAGGTCTTGATGGGAGTATGAGGAGGCATAGCAACTGGAATCTCGTGTAAAATCAACAAGAGGTTCATGGACATAGGAGGCTAAAGTTTTGAAGAATTGTCTGTATGTATGGCTATTAGAATCACCAAGAATTAGGATGTAGTATCATTTAGTGTAGTCAGGAATTACATTTTAGAAATAAACATATTCAAGTGTTTGCAACAAAAGGTGGTGGACAGTATACAGTTAAAATAATGTGAAGGTGGGGATTGGAGAGATGGCTCAGCGGTTAAGAGCATTGCCTGCTTTTCCAAAGGTCCTGAGTTCAATTCCCGGCAACCACATGGTGTATCACAACCATCTGTAATGAGATCTGGTGCCCTCTTCTGGCCTGCAGACATACACACAGAATATTGTATACAAGATAAATAATTAATTTAAAAAAAACTTAAAAAAAATAATGTGGGGGGCTGGAGAGATGGCTCAGTGGTTAAGAGCACTGGCTGCTCTTCCAGAGGTCCTGAGTTCGATTCCCAGCAACCACATGGTGGCTGACAACCATCTGTAATGAGATCTGGCACCCTCCTCTGGCGTGCAGACATACATGGAGGCAGAATGTTGTATACTTAATAAATAAATAAATCTTTAAAAAAAAAATAATGTGAAGGTCTGGAGAGTTACTTCGAGAAGAGTGGGAGTGAGAAGCTTAGGATCCCTACACTCTTCACCGCTAGATCCAGCCGTAAGAGCAGTAAAGGAGAGAAACATGGCTTAAGGAAATAAAATAATAAAGGTTGCTGGTAGCTGACTGATTTCTTGGTGGCACAGTGATCATAAAGAGAATCTTATCAGACTATAAAGGTGGCTCGTAGTTAAGGAAACTTGTTCTTGAGAGGACCCAGATTCTATTCCCAACACCCATATGGTGGCTCAACCATTTGTAACCCCAGTTCCAAGGATCCAACACAAATGTGCAGTGCACATACATGTGTGCAGGCAAAACATTCATACATATAAATCTTAAAAAACATTAAGAACAAATGTTATTTTTCCATAGGCATGAATTTCATACAGTTTACCAGATGAAAGGCCTTGCATATTTTAATGAATAGATTGACTAAAGCATAAATATGGGCCAGGATGTATAACTCGGTAGGAGAGCATCTTACAGCATGCACAGGCCGGCTGTTTCAATAGAGCAGTGCTGGACAAGCAGTCTTAAAATGCAGTGGAAGCTAGACTGTGTCACTTGTTTGTAATAAGTGGTTTTTCCTTTTAAAATAATAGAAAATTAACTCATAAAATTTGCCATATTCTCCTTTTGAGTCTTGCATTTCATCATAATTATCAATCATACTAAATTAACTTGAACATTTTAATCTCTTAATCTGCATGCCCCTTAAAATAATTATAGCATACTTATTATTTGGCTGATAGGAAAATGTGATATATTAGTTTTGTGATAAAGCTCAGGTAACCAGGTATTTCCCAAAAAAATTAAAGAAATTTCATTTTTACAATACTACCTACTCTTTAGCTTTTCTTTGTTTTCATTTATTTTGCTTCCTCACAGAGAAGAAAAGAGATTAATATTACTTACATACATACATGTGTGTATACATGCATACATGTGTGTATATATACACTTATATACACACATACACACAGAGCATATGTATCTTGGCAGCATTTAAGTATCCACACACACTGACCCAGGAAGGAATGTGAGCCAAAATGTTCTTTAAGTCAATAGAGAGAGACAGCTTCGAAGCAAGCCTTCAAGAGTTTTATGTTTGAGTGCTACCCAAGAGGAAATGGGGAAGACAGCCCATACTTCCTCCCTGAAATATCAGTGTCTCTAAGTCTTCCTAGTGGGGAAGTTAGCAAACGGTGCCCCCAAGTGGTGATAATGAGGCACTTCAGTCACTTTAAAATAGGTAATTGAGGGTTTGATTTTTTGTTTTCCAACAGTTTTCCATCCAATTATCTTTCTAACAACAATCAGACTTCTGGGACACCTGTGCCCTCTGCTTTATCAAATGCGATTGGTCCTTCTGCTATGGCTTCAACCGGTAGCCTAGTAATCCCTTCTCCTGCCAACCTCAATGACCTTAAGGAATCAAGTGGAAGCAGGAAGGCCAGGGTGCTCTATGATTATGACGCTGCAAACAGTACTGAGCTGTCGCTTCTGGCAGATGAGGTGAGTGAGTCCCAGACAGACACACCCGGTCTGAGACTAGGACAAAGTTGGAAATAATGTATTATGAGTGCTTTGTGAATTTCAGTTGTTAATATTGACACTTAAAATTTTATTATGTATAGTAGATCAGTAGAAATCATGTTTTAAATGTTCTACCTATGTATGAAACTGCCACTGATAAAATCCATAAGTTTTCG